AATGAATTAAGGTAGCTGGCAGAGACACAAGACAGTGGTGAAATGGATTATTTTCCCTGGACCTGGGTTTCCACGTGGTGTGTCTTATTTTCTGAATTTACTAGGAAGGTGCTGTTGTTTGCTGAAATCAGCTTTTTTTTTTTTTTTTTTTTTTTTTTTTTTTTCGAGTGTCTATCTTTTAAAACTCGAGGGTCTGACCCAGAAACTCCCATGTCCATCCACGTTCCGCCTGCACCCTCTGCTGGCAGGAAGTGGCGTTGTGTGTTTGCATCTGGCAGGAGCATCCACACTCAGTCCGCAGGAGGATGGTCTTTCTCGGGTCTGGGGAAGTGAAGGCCAGAGAGGAGTCGGGACAGTGAAGGGAGGTAGCGGGAGGCAACCACTCCAGCCCGGGGGCGTAGACCTAACGCTGGGGCGTGGTTTTCTCGGGGCGGGAACTCTGATGGGGGCGGGGCCAGTCTGTGGGCCCAGACGTGGCGCAGCGGCCCGTTGGTTCTCCTCCAGCTTGCGGATCATTTTCTGCAAGGTTCCGATGGGCCTCCTGCTGTCGCCGCCGCCGCTGTTGCTACTTCTCGTGGCGCTTGTGGTCCCAGCCACCGCTGTCACCAACTATCGGCCGAACTGGAACCGTCTGCGCGGCCTGGCCCGGGCCCGGGTAGAGGTGAGTGCCCCACCCCCACTCCCGGTACCATGGCCCCCCAACCCTACAACCCCATATCCTTACGACTGTCGCCAGTTATGGCCCCAGGAGCACGCCAGCCCCAAGTCCCTTTCTTTTCTTCCTCGATGGCGCCGAGACCATTCCTTCTGGTCCTCAGCACCAGGATGCCCAGCCCACTGTGGAAGGCCTGAGACACCGACCTTACGTCCTGGCCCTGCTCCCCATTCGGTCGGGCAGGGGGCTTCCGACATTATTGGTCCAGTCCCCTAACTCCTTAGGATCTGTGACTCGAATCTCCTCACGGCCAATCCTCCCATCCCCCATGCTCCACTTTTCCTTGAAATTCCTCCTCCACTCTAGTTCTAGGGTTTGGGGCTCCAGAGCGTGTCTGTCTTTTCTCCTGGGGTAGGGAACACTTTCTGGGGAGCCTCCTCCCACTATGTACGAGCCACAGAAAGGGGCTGAGAACTCGGTCACTACTATCGCCCCACCTTCCCCGCTAGAAAATTTCCCTCCTGAGTTTATCTTGCTATGACTTGGTCCCTCACAGCCTTTTTCTAGGCCTTAGTTTTCTGGTTGACAAAAGGGGAGTAGGATAAGGGAGCCATAGAATAGGTGGCCCTAGAGTCTGGTCTCCTGTTGGGAGGTGGCCTCCCCTCAAGGAATGCAAGGTGGGGCCCCACAACCTTGCCAAGTGACAGAAACAACCAGATGGTCTGTGGGGCTGGGCCGCAGGTGGCTGGCAGGGCTTGGACTGTGTGGGGTGGGGTAGGGACCAGATGGCAGGTACTGCTAATGGGGGCCCCCAGGGCAGTTCTGAGCTGTTTCCTTCTGGCCTGCCTATGCCCTAAGGTTTCAGGGGCAGAAGGGCAGACCCAGATCTCCACTGTCCAAGAGGCACAGGGCTATTATGTCTATCTCTTGGGCATTGGGAGTCAGCAGTCAACAGGGTTCAGGCAAGAGCCTCAGGGCTAAGTAAGCTCCCTGTGCGTCTCTGCCTTGCTTCTCTTTTCCTGGTGTCTGTAGACCTGAGTTTCTCCACCTGTGCCCTGTTACCTCTTCTGCCAATAAGGGACCTCCACCTCTATCACACCCTGGAAACTGCTCTTCTAAAGATAATTTACAGCCTGACCCAACCCAGAGATGAGGATAGTCCTGGTGGAGTAAGATGTGAGGGAATCTTGACCTATCTCATTTTTGTTCCCCTTCAGACCTGTGGAGGATGACAGCTGAACCGCCTAAAGGAGGTGAGTCTGAAGGAAGGGGTCTCCAGCTCTGACTCCCCTAGCCTCTTGGAGAATGGACAGCATGGTCTCAGTGGTTGGGGGCAGGGGCTGGGAGTCAGGAGCCTGCCTCTGACTCGATGTATGACCTCACTGGGCTGCAGTCTCCTGCCTGTGGAGAGGTTTGGGGTTGGGTTTTCTAATGCTCTGATTCCTCCCCAGGTGAAGGCCTTCGTCACCGAGGACATACCATTGTAGTATCCTATTCTGGGGAAGGGGAAATGGGGCGGGGACTTAGAAGAATCTCCTTTTACTTAACTTCAGAGATAGAGATGGCAAATGGTTTTCATCTGACAAGTAGAATTGATTCTGTTGACTGCCCAGAGGATTCTGAGGTGGTCTCTAAATTGTGTATTAGGCAAGAGATTGATTGGTGAAGAGAGGGGCCCTTTACTTCTTTGAACTCTAATTTCCTCACTTGTAAACGGGTTCCCTGCCCCATCTGGGTACCGGAAGCAGTGCTGCCCTAACCTCCCTTTCCCACTGCTACCCCTCCTTAACACCCTCTCCAGCCACAACCTGGTGATGAAACACCTCCCTGGGGCCGACCCCGAACTCGTACTGCTGAACAATCTTTACGAGGAATTAGAGGTGAGGCACTGGGAGGCGGGCGGGGGTGGAGCGAGAGGTGGGGCCCCACAAGCTGACCCCACCCTTTCTCCACCTCAGCGTATCCCACTCAGCCCAATGACCCGAGAAGAGATCAACGCGCTGGTGCAGGAGCTCGGCTTCTACCGCAAGGTGGCGCGCGATGCTCAGGTGCCCCCCGAGTACTTGTGGGCCCCGGCTAAGGCCCCGGATCGTGCTGACCTGTAGGTGCGAGGGCACAGCGGAGCTGGGGCCACCCTGCCTGAGCCCTGAAGACCGAATGAAGTGCTCAGCATCCCGGGAGCACCTCCCTCGCTGAGGACTGATGCCTGTCTTCTAGCCAGCAGGAATAGGGTTGGGGAAGGCCTCCCCCCTCCTTCCTTTTCCAGCTCCACTAAATACCCTTACACCTTGACTGAGGCTCACTTCTTCCTCGCTGCTGCAGGCAGGTGGTGTGGGAGGTCAGAATAGGAGCTCCAGAATATCCTCCGAAGGCCTCACATCCCCTAACTGCCTGGCTTCGGGAGTTGGGGACCTTCCTGGGATAATTCACAGCCCGACCCCCACCCACAAAAGAGGCAGAGGAGTCAGGGTCGTTGAAAACCAATAATTTATCAAAACGCTGCGAGTGTATGCGGGGGAGGGTGTCGCGACAGACAGGACAGCCGTGGGCAGGCGCACCGGGAGGGGACTGTGCCGGGATGGTGGGGGTGGCACCCTGGTGCGGGCGAGCTGTGGGGGAGGCTAGACATTCTTGCCGCGCAGGCGCAGCTCGTGGCGCCGCAGGTGGTTGTAGAGCGACTGTACATAGGTGAAGACGCACTTGGGGTCGGGCTTCTTGCCCATGATCATCATGTCCTCCACCTCCACCAGGGGTACGCAGTCCACCAACATCCTGCGGAGGAAGAGGGGATGACGAGGGGAGGGATGGTTGTGAGCACCAGCCCACCTCTTGTGGTGCCCCTCTACCCCGAGGTCTTTTCATTGCCGAAGCCTGCTCCAAACTGTTCACCGATGGGGAAAAAAGCCTTCGAGGAAGGCAGGGAAGTCCTGGCCTGGGCCCATCAGCCTAAGCCTAGAGGCCACACTTCCGGTAGCAGAGCTAGGCAAGTAGTAGTGGCGAAGGAAGGCAGAAGAGAGCAAGATCCCTTTCCAGTCAGGCCGGTTTGGGTCTGACCCCACCCCCTCCAGCCGGGGCGGCCCCGGCTCCAGATCCCGCTCGTATTCTCTGCGCTCGTATTCTCTGCGGAGGGCCGCCTTCTGCTCACCCTCACTGGCACACTCCAGTTGCTAGAGGGCCCTCAGCTGGGCCAGTGCACCAGCGGGGCTGCACCATTGGCAAATCTTTTTCCATGGCCAAGGCTCACCCCAGTGATGCCCTGGACCCTTGATTAATCTGGCACTTGGTGCCAAGAGGCCCAGGGACCCTTGTCCTTGCCCCAGGGAACAACCATACTGGGGAAATGGAGACCATGGGGGTAGGAGGAGTGTCTGTGTGTGTATATGTCTGTGTTGAGAGGCAGGTTTTTTTGGTTTTTTAAACTCTTACTGCCTTGTTTACAGCAGAGGAGGCACATTATCCCAACCAATACTGACTGGACCTTCTACACCATGCTCAGGGGCAGGACCATCCTTCTGATCATCTTTCAGAGTGCAAGCTTCACTTTACATATAGGGAAACTGAGTCATAGAGCAGAGGAGCTGTTTAAGCCTCTGAGCTCAGTAGGTGCAGGGTTGAACCTGATAGGGCCCAGCCCCCAGTCCTGGGCTCTGGCATCCAGTGCCTCCTCTTCCCTACTGCAGGACCCCTTTCCCCACCCTGGAGTAGGTTGTGGCTATGACACAAGTGACAGCCTCAAAGCTCTGAAGCTGGAGTCTGCTCTGTGGCCTTTTCTTCCTCCCAAATCAAGACTTCTGCCTTGCTCCCTGTTTGCGCTCTCCCACCTGCCATGCATGGCACATGGTAAGTACTCAGACAGTGTTTTGACAGTGTTGTGGAATGAGTTTGCTTCAGCATAGAAGACAAGGCCAGGGACTGCTCCTGTTCCCATGAGACAGGAGAGCCTGAGACCATCTTCCATCTTGCACCTCCAGGATCAAATCCAGGGCTATGTATAGGGCTGGGGCTATTCCCAGCTCACCTGGACTCCTTCAAGGAAGAAACCCAGGAAGCAGAAAATCTCTTCAGTCCAGGGTCTGCTCCAACCATCTGTGGTTGCTAGGCAAGACCCTGTCCTATTCTGTGACTGTTTCCTTCTATCTCTACCTTTCATTTGAGACCTTGGAAACACTTAGGATGATTAAGAGGTTCCTAGTTCTGCTTTTGATGTGCTGTGTGCTCGTGGGGTTGTCTCTGCCCCATACTGTGCTTGTTTCCCCAGCTGTACCATGGTGCAGAGGCAGCCTCCCCCTGAAGCTTCTTCCAGCTGTGGCTATCTTCCCAGGGATTCTGGCTTCCCTCCCCCAACCTGGAGCTCCCTCCCACCCTTTGTGCCTTCCCTGGAGACCTTATAAAGCCATTGTTTACAGTGGGGCACATGGCTCAGGGATCAGGCAGCCCCAGTGACAAGCCAAACGCCAAGCAACTGGAGCAACAGTACAGCTGAGTCACACTTTCCAACTGGATCAGGGGTGTACTGGGCTCCTCTCCCTCCAGGCCAGCTCACTGGGCAGACGTTCCTAAGTCCATATATGACCTGGAGACAGCACCAAACCCATCTTTCCCTCACCTGCACCACTGAGTATATGCACATAGGATGCTCCCTGCAGTGAGCCCAGGTCCTTAAGGGCATCTGAGTGCACCCTAGTTGGCTCTGTCCCTGACTTCCATTACTTTGAGTAAGCCCTTTGTTCCTTCTGACCCTCTATTTTTACTTCTCTATATAAAGTGAGAGGGAAAAGTGATAGAGAAAGGAAGAGAGCCACTAAATGGGGAGTGTGGAGAGCCAATCTTTGGCCCCAGGTCTCACGCTAACTCTCTGCCCTGGGGACATTGTGAGCTCACTTCTCTTCTCTGAGGGAACTGTCTATAATGAGGCAGTTAGTTCAGGATCTAAATTCTCTACTATAGCCTTAAGGTAAGATGACCACAGAGGAAATGCCATAGCTAGTTTGGGGAAACCAGGACTTCCAGCCAGAAACATCTTCCTGTTGAACTGGTCCAGTTTCTGAACTCCTCAGCTTGGTATATGACACCACCAACTCTCCTAAAGCTTGGGAGTAGTTTTGTTTGTTTTGGGTTTTTCCCAGTGCTGATGGTCCAACCTAAGGTTTCTCAAATGCTAGGCTGGCGCTCTACCACTCAGCTATACTCCCAGCCCAAGAGGTTTTCCTTCTACCTCTAATGCTGTTCCAGCCATCTGGATTCTTATCCTCAATAGGAAGTTCAAACACCTGACTGTGCCCCTTCCTTCATCTTCACACCCAAGACTCAAGTTCCTTCCCTTCTCACATTGTCCATCTCTGACCTGGCCCTGAGCATTGGCTGATCCCTCTGTCTGGAACTCCTTCTCCCTCCCTTAGCCTGAATTTGATGCTTGGATCCCAGCTCAGTCTGCACTTTTGTCAGAGAGCCAACAAGGGCCTGCAGCCAGGGCATACAGCCAGAGCCAGGTGCCTCCCCTGGGGTCCCATGGTCTCCTGGGTTTTTCCCATCATAATCCTGCTCACCTGAGTTGCCACTGCTCATTAGTAATGGTTTCACCTGGTAGGCTTTCACCCTACAACCGGAAGTCAGGGTTCTGTCTGCCTCCTCAGCTTTTAGAAGGGCTCCCCTGCATCCCCCCCCCCCCACCTCCCATTCACTTCTCTGAGCTTCAGTGAGTAGATTCCGGTGAAACAGGGCAGGTGGGAGAGGCAGTGTTTCTCACCGTGGGGCCCCGACCAGGGGTTAGGACTTTTTGGTTTTTACCAGCCCCTTCTGGACCAGGCAGCGGTAGAACTCCTGGATGTACGTGTACACGCACTTCCAGTCAGGCTCTCGAAGCCGCACCATGTCCTCTGTATCCAGGAGTTGCGGGCAGTCCGCATGGGTCCTGGGGAGGGTAGGGGGCCAGGAAGGGGCAGGTAGGCAGGGCCCAGCCGGGGAAAAGGAGGTAGAGGTTGAGAAGAGAGAAGAGAGAACAGAGACACACACACATACACACACACACACAGAGACATGAGTTCAGTTACGTTCTCAGTGCCGCAGTCCGCCAGCCCCCCGCATGCCCCCTCCCTATTGTGGACGTGCCGCTCACTACCCGTCACTAATAGTGTGCGATGCAGACAGGGGTGGGGGGGTCAAACCAGTCACAGGTGCAGAGAACTCTTGGGGCAAGCGGGAACGCGGGGTGGGGGCAATGGCGTTGGCGTCGAGACTGGAGAGGAGGGCTGTGCCCCGGGGAGGAGGGGGTGAGGGAGGCGTGAGAGGAGGTGGGGGAGGAGGAGGAAGAAATCTAGAGGGAACCAGAAAGAGAAGGGGAGAGAAAGAAAGACAGATGGAGGAGGGTGCTGAGGGTGAGGTGAGCAGAAGGGGCAATGATTCCAAAGTGGAGGGCTTGCTGATGTCCTATATAAGCCTCTGGCAGCACCTATATAGGCTGCACGGGCACGGTGCCCGGGCCAGGAGCCTCCTTTTGGAATCTCCAGCCGGGACCCCGTGGGAGCAGGAAGCTCTGGTGATAGTGGGAGGAGAGCAGGGCAGAGAAAGGGAGAAATGAGGGAGAAGGGGCAGAGGGAGGAGGCAAGGGATATGGACAGGGCCACCTGGTGGGCTTTGGCCTGGGCTGGTAGGCGGGCCTGCCGCTCCTTCCTTCCGGCGGGCACCTGGCACACTCAGCAGCAGGTGGGCAGGGGGCGGAGGAGGACAGGGACTCTCTGGGTAAGGGTCTCAGCTGGAGACCGACAGTGTGGCTGGCCAACTCCAGGGGGTCTCAGGGCAGCTGAGCCCAGCCGACACCTGGGGCCCATACTTACTCCGCGGATGAGAAGGCCACTTCAAAGTTCTGGCGCCGGTTCTGTGGGCTAAGCTGCCCATAGTCAAAGGCCTCAGGGAAGAAGTTGTGTACCAGGGCACAGAAAGCCATCCCATCACTCCAGCTGGAGGAGAAGTTCTGGATGTCCACGTGCTAGGAGTAGGATGACTGGTCGGCCCCAAGGCAGTAACTCTGCTGTACCCAGCATGTCCCCCCCACACCAGGTTTTGGCATTTTAGACTTAGGGCAACTGGGCTTAGAGAGGCCCTGCAGCCTCAGAGTATGAACCTCCTCCAACTCTGTTTGTCAACTCCCATGTCTGTGACTTAGGGGGACAGAGCTATGGAGGGGTCTAGTCCCACTGAGCTAAGGCTATGGTCATACCTCCATCATTCCTTTCCTCACAGAAAGTAACTCAGCCCCCTCCCTGTCCCAGTACAGCAAGGAGGGAACTCCAAGA